AGTGGCCAAGACTTTCCGAAAAAGTGTCCCGCCATCTTTTGATATGTTGTTCCTCGGGTCTAATAACGCATTTCTGGATGGTTAATTTTTAGTACTTTTTTTTAGAAAAAATTGAAAATTTTGACTAAGTTTTTTTTTCTGGCCAACTTTTTTTCTGGCCAACTTCAGGCAGGTGTGAAGTGAACTCATAACCTACGCACCCGGCCAGCTCGGGTCATCAAGCCTCCATCACCGCGTGTGCTTTGTGACAGTGCTAGTGTTGTGTTCAGTGTTTTCTACAAAGTGTGTGACTCTTTGACCGTGTATCACCATGGAAGGCGAATCCGCCGAACTTTTGGCAGCTAACCAAGAAATCGCCCGCCTCAACGAACTCGTCGAAAACTTGAAGATTCTCAAGCGAACCGCGGACGAAGAACTTGAAGAAACTAGACTAAACCACGAGCGGTGGGAACAAGAGCTCATACGCCAGCAAAATATGCCACCCGGAGGTAGTGCCGACACCCAAGTAATGTTTAAATTACTACAAAACATTGAAATTTTGGCCTCCAACATGGCCGCCAACAAGCAACCCGTCTACCATTTTTCGGACAAGCAGTTTCCCAAATTCAACATTGACAAACCTACTGAGTGGGACAGGTTTGAATCGGCGCTCACAATTGCATTTTCCGACGTCGACGGGCACGCTTTAGACGACAAACAAAAACGTCGCATTCTGCTGCAAAACGCAGGGGATGGACGCCTGTTTAACCTTGCATCAGATCTGCTCAAATCTAAGAAGAAAGATATCAGCACTGCGAGTTTTGGAGAAATAATTACAGCCCTTCGTCAATTCTTCAAACCCAAGATCAGCCCCGCCGCAGCTTACGCCAAGTTCACCGGGCTGAAGCAGCTCTCCAACGAGCCTGCACTGCAGTTCGTGGCGCGCCTGCAGGCCGCGGCCGCCGACTGCAGTTTTGAAGACAAGACAAGCGACTTGCTGTTGTGGCAGTTTGTGGTCGGCATTTCGAACCAATCCGTCCAACACCACCTCCTCAACACAGAAGAGAAGCTGACTTTCGAGAGCGCCATCGGTACAGTCACCACCTCCGAGACTACCTCCACACATGTGCGTGCGCTGCAGGGCACCGAGTACGCCTCGGGTGCGGCTGGCGGCACGTCCGCGACGACGCTTGCCGCGGTGCACCACGCCGGCGCCGCCCAACAAGGCTACCAGCAGCGTGGGCACGGCGCACATCAAGGCGCTGCCGCGTCGTCACCGAGCTACAACGGGAAGCCGCAGCAGCAGCAATCACAGCATCAAAACCAGCAGCAGCAGCAGCAACAAAAACAAAAAGGTTGTATGCGTTGCGGAGGAGATCATCACTCTGCAAGCTGCCAGCTGGACCCCACAACCCTATATTGCACCAATAGACCATTTATCCAAACGATGTGGCAACGCCGCACGCTAATAGTTTCCAGCGACAAACTCTTAATTGTGATCAAAATTCAAAATTCTGGCCACGGTGTTTGATTTTTGTGACTACTCCGCATCAAACACCGTGGCCAAAATTTCAAATATTGACCACAGTGAAGAGGTTGTCGCTGGACAAAAATAGCGATATTTGGGCGACTGTACGAATAACCGCTTTGGATAAAACGTCTATTGCAGCAACTGGCGACACCTTGCTGCAGCCTGCCGAGGTGGGCCCCGCCGCGGCAAGACTCCACATCATCAAGGTCAGCCCGCCCAACAACAACAACACCCAGCACCGCCGAAGCAGCAACCCAAGACGTCGCATCCCTCGGCGGGCACACATCAGTTGACGGGACAGGCGACACCACAGCAGAAGCAGGGTCAGGAGAGCTCCCCCTCCCCCACCCCCGCACCTGCCTCACAATCTCAACTGGGCGCAACAAACCCAGCTCAGCTGTTCGCCATGCCGCCCGGCTACATGCCCGGCTACTACTACGCCGCGGCGCCGCCAGCAGCACCACCGACCGCTCCAAGCTCGTCAAGTGCAAGCTCGGCATTTTTTCAACATGGGCACCCCCAGCAGGCTCCGTGGGGGCACCCAGCCCCGTCTCTGTGAGAGCCACCCAAGAGGACCCGGGTGCATTCCCGCCCCACACGGCCCAGCTGTTCCGTGTCGGTGAGGCGCACCTGCACACGCCACCTTCTCCGGTCTCCTTTCCACTGGAGAAGTTTGCGGGACAATGCGACCCATCCTCTCTACGCCCGTCGGACCCTGTCATCGTGCACATGGAACTCGACGGCCAGCCTGCGACCATGGAAGTGGACAACGGCGCCACCTACACAACGATGGCGTCCGGAACATACGATCTTCTGTGGCCGCATCGCCCACCTTACGCGCCTGGACAGCGCCCAGACCTGCAGCCAGTAGAGATACTGCTGCAGCCGTACCTTAGCTCGCCAGTCACTGCAGCCCTAGGTGCGCGCGCCGTCCGGGTCCGCTTCCGCAACATCGAGGCCACGCTCCCGCTCGTCGTCGTCGAGGGCCCCAGCTCCCTCCGCACGCTCATGGGGCGTAACTGGTTCCCTGCACTCGGGATATCAGTGGCCGGCCTCAACCACCTCAGCCCATCCGTGCCGGCTGACATTCAGCTACACCCGGCTCTCAACCAGGATCCAAACACCCTGGGTTGCTACAAGGGACCGCCGGTGCAGCTCGATTGGGACAAGACCGCCGCGCCCAAGTACCTGCCTGCACGCTCGGTGCCGTACGCCATTGAAGACAACGTGGTGGACGTCATCAACACTCTGCACAGGCAGGGCGCCATCTCGCCCACACCGTACGCCCCCATCGGCTACGCCACCCCGGTCGTCATTGTGCACCGCCCCGACGGCCGCATCAGGATGTGCGGGGACTACAAGTCGACTGTCAACAAAGTCCTGCGCCCCGACCGCTATCCACTCCCCACGGCCGACGCTGCCTTCGCGAAGATCGCCAACGCCACCGTCTTCTCGAAGATCGACCTCGACCAGGCATTCACCCAGGTCCCCGTCGACGACGCGGCCGCCGACCTACTCACAATCAACACGATCCGAGGCCTCTACCGAGTACATCGCCTACCTTTCGGCATCTCCGCGGCCTCGGGCATCTTCCAGAGGCTCATGACCGACCTCCTAGCGGGACTCCAAGGCGTCGTAGTACTGCAGGACGACATCCTCATCTGCGGCCAGGACATCCCCACACACGACGAGCGTCTCCGAATCGTCTTGGACAAAGTGCACAACGCCGGCCTCCGCATCCGCCCCAACAAGTGCCTCTTCCGGACCGACGCCGTCGTCTTCCTGGGCTTTCGAGTGGACATCAAGGGCATCCACCCCGTCAAGGACAAGGTGGACGCCATCCGCCACTTTCCTTCGCCTCGGGACAAGCAACAACTGCAAAGCTTCCTCGGTCTAGTTAATTTCTACGACCGATACTTTCCTGACAAAGCCACCAGGTTCGAGCCGCTCTACAGACTGCTCAACAAGGACACACCCTGGAGCTGGACAGAAGAACATGAAACAGCAGTCAAGTACGTCAAGGACATCCTGCTCTCTGATCAAGTTCTTGACTACTATGACCCCAAGAAACCTATATGTATGTCAGTCGATGCGTCAGACTACGGCGTTTCTGCTGTCCTCGCCCACATCTACCCGGACGGCCTGGAGCGCCCCGTCGCCTCCGCGTCGCGGACATTGACACCAGCCGAACGTCGCTACGACACCTTCAATAAGGAAGCGACCGCCCTACTGTTTGGAATAACAAAGTTCCACAAGTACATCTACGGCAAGTCTGGTCTCATCATCTACACGGACCACAAACCTTTGGTCGGGTTTTTCAAGCCGCACGCGCCCACGCCTGAGCACATCTCTCCTCGGCTGCTGCGCTGGTCCGTGATCATGGGCTCTTACGATTACCAGATAGTCCACCGAGCCGGTAAAAAGAACGGAAATGCTGATGCATTTTCTCGTCTTCCCCTACCACATCAAGACGATGACGTCATCCCCGAGGCCGCCGGCATTCACCTGCTCGAGTTGTCGTCGGGATGCCCAGTCAACAACAAAGAAGTTTTGGACGCCACTGTCGGAGACCCCGTCCTCCTGGCCGTCCACGAGGCCGTCTACACTGGTCACTGGCCGACTCCACTCCCGGCCGTGCTGCAGCCGTACCACAACGTGAAGACCGAGCTCACCACCCTGGACACACTGGTGCTGCGCGGCGACCGCGTCGTCATCCCCGAGGCGCTCCGCGAGCGCGTCCTCAACAGCCTCCACGCCGCACACCACGGCATGACCAGGATGAAGGACGTCGCCTACAGCTTCGTGTGGTGGCCTGGCCTGCACACCCAGATCGTGGAGCTGGTCAAGACCTGCCCCATCTGCCAAGAGCACCAGCGCAACCCCCACTGCACCTACAAGTCCTGGCCCACACCTACAGGGCACTGGGAGCGCGTCCACATCGACTACTGCGTCTACCACGGGCAGAACTACCTCGTCCTGGTGGACGCGTGGAGTCGCTGGCCCGAGGTCATCCCCGTCAGCACCCTCACCGCGGCGGAGCTGATCCGGCACGTGCGCAACATCTTCGCGGCCCACGGCGTGCCGCGCCTCCTGGTGTCGGACAACGGCAGTCAGCTCGTCTCGCAGGACTTCAACAACTTCCTGGCACACAACGGCTGCAAGCACCTGACGTCCGCGCCCTACTTCCCGCAGTCCAACGGCTTGGCCGAGCGAACCGTCGGATCCTTCAAGTCCATCCTCAAGAAGCTCGACGGCGAGGACTGCCACGCCAAGACCGCGCGCGCGCTCTTCGCGATGCGCATCACCCCCTGCAGCGCCACGGGCGAGCCACCGGCCGAGCGCGTCTTTCACCGCCGCCTGCGCACGCCCTGGGACGTCATCAAGCCGACCGACAGGGAAGCCGCAGACGACCACGACGGCCCGCCAACAGCAGTCCTCGCCCCCGGCCAGCACGTCTCCTTCCGGGACCACCGCCCAGACCACGGCAAGTACTCCCACGGCGTCATCGTCGAGAGCATCGGAACCCAGATGTACCGCCTCCGAGATGATGACAACGTGGAGCATGTGAGGAACATCAATCAGCTCCACCTGCGCCCTCCACCCCGGCCTAAACGAGGACAGCGCGCCGAGGACGACGCCTGGAGACACTGGGACGACGGCGATGAGCCACCGACGCCGCCCCCACCGCCGGAGCGCCCGCCCCCAGAGCGCGCACCGCCGGAATGCCCGCCTCCAGAGCGGACACCGCCGCCAACCCTGGACAGCCCGCGGCGAGACCCACCAGGACCACCCCCGGTCCAGACTCCAGTCGACCCGACGCCGCCGCCGAGGGTCGAACCGAGGGTCGAACCGAGGACACCACCACCACCACACCAGCCGGCGCCCCGCCCAACCAGGGAGAGACGCCCGCCCGCGTGGATTAGAAAGGGTGATTTCCTTACTTAAGATTTCTGTTATACTGCATTCCTTATCACGTTCTTTATCTTTTACAGTGTAACGTTTGTATTGCTAATCTTCTTTTGCAGTATATTTTTGTATGTGTACATTAATTGTTTTGTATACCTCATTTTCTTGTAACATACAGGGTACCCATTTCCTTTGTACCTTGTCATTTAATTATGCATCTTCTCATTTTTATTTTTGAGCCAATTTTTTTTGCATTAATGTTTAACATTTTCTTTCAAAGTAACCGCCCGGTTTCTGTAATGCGCGATTGCTATGTTTAATTGTTTGATTTGCCATATCAACCCCTAGCCAAATCTTTTTCAAAGGGGGGAAGTGTGTCATACCACCCTTAATTCTATTATTTGCCACAGTTGGCTCTACTGTGCTACAGCAGCGCCCCAAGCGGCAGCCTGTTCAGTTTCCTGTATACTCGCTCTCTCACACCAGCATTGTACCCACAGAGTCGCTCCGTGCCAGACCCATTGTGCTGTATCATTATCCGTGCAAATCTTAAATAAATACTTGTTGTGTTAAACCATCGAGTGTCAATCCAACGCCCTGGACTTAACATCAAACAGAGAACTATAATAACCTTGACCTGATCTTAGCTCTCGCTGATGAACCGTCACGCCCGATAAGCC